CTTCAAGGGACCATAAGTTATAGGGACACCACCAGGAAAAACCCAATGAGCTAATAAAGAGTAGAGTTACTTCAGTGGGGCCCATTGGAGCAGACTCATCTTGACATTAGGCGCCATCATCATTGTTGAAGATGAGCTAATCTTTTCTGGTAGCTTCCTCTTAGAAAACTGTGAGGCATCTTTCTCAAAGAAAAGAGACACCCCCCACCCCCTTATGACTGGAAGGGTGACAGACATTTCTTCCTTTGTCCAATCATTCTCAATTTAGTTGAGCAGCTCAACGTAATCCTCATGCTAACGTTGTATATTTGGGGGTGGCATACTCTGATCTCCCTCTAAAGGTAATTTTTTGAGGAAGTTGAGAAAGAGTTTCTCTGAGTAACCATCATGGTTATCCTAGAACTTGCTCTGTAGACCAGGCTGACCTTGAATTCACAGAGATCAGCCTGCCTCTGCCTCCCAAGTGCTGGGATTATAGGTGTGTGCCACGGCCACCACCAGACCAAAAGTGATAGTTTACTTTAAAAGGTAACAAATATCACTATTGATTGAGTTAATTGACTTTTGTTTTCCTACACTTTCAGCTTTTAATTTACACCTTGTGAAAAGTTGTGCTTGGTAACAATTTTTTTTTTTTTATCTAATACCATTGCTTGCCCCAACCAAATCTTAGTGACTTATTGTCATTGTGTTTAATCTTTCTTTTTTCTTTTTTTTTTAATTCCAGCCCATGATTCCTATAAGGCTTTGAAATAAAACTCTAAGATATTGTCTTCAAAGAAAATACTGACATGAAGTCTCTCCTATACTTCTGACTGTATGCTGAGAGATCCACATCTATTCTCCAATGATCCCTGACATTATCTCCAATCTTAACAGGTAGACCAGGTGGCCCAAATCAGTTAATGGGGATCACAAGACTGACAGAAGCTGGAATGCTTGATAAGGTATCATAACTAGAGGATGACTTTCCTGTCATTTAAATAAAAGACTCGGGCTGGGAAGATGTTCAGTTGGTAATGTGCCTGTCTTGCAAGCGTGGAACCTGAGTTCAGATACTCAGAGGTTCACAAAACAAACAAACAAACAAAAATCTGGATGTGGCCATGGGCATCTGTAAAATTAGTGCAATGGTAGCTGAGGCAGGCAGATGCCTAGAGCTCTCTAGCTGACCAGTCTAGCCAATCTGTAAGCGTCAAACTCATCAAGAGACCTTGTGTCAAGAGACAAGGTAGATGGTAGGTGAGATAGCTCAGCTGTAAAGGTGCACACCTCCAGCCCTAAGGACCTGAGATCGAGCCCCCAGGATCCACATGGTGGAGAGAACCTACTTCCACAAGTTGTTCTCTGAGTTCTATGGGTGTGCTTCTACACACACACACACACACACACACACACACACACAGAAGAGGATAAGGTGGAGAATGGCTGAGGAAGATAGCAGTGTGGACCTCTGGCCTCCCCACATAGGTGTACACATACCTAGATTTACATGTACAAATATATAGTACACACACACACACACACACACACACACACACACACACACACACACACAAATTTATTTGACTCTTTTAGGTGAAGAAAGACAAAAGTAGCATGTCCAGCTGGGTGACAGATATCTTAAAACCTTTTTCATTACAACCTTGCAAATAGAGTCACCTCACAGAGCTGCTCTGTAGGTCAAGGGTTAAGTCAGTTTGAACCTAATGCCGTGCAAGCTCTTGTTGTTTTGACTGCTTCTGGAATCTTCTCTTTTTAAATACAAGAATAAAGATACTCCCTGGGGAAAAAAAACTAGGTTCCAAACTGCATGGCACCAAGATACACAAAATAAGAATCCAGTCAGCACTCTACTTAGGACTATTTATGCCACAAGGTACCTACCCTTCAAGGCCATTTCACAAGAGACTGGACAACAAGAAGATGACATGTAGAGAGTCGGGCTTCATTCTGTCTATTTGTTGCAGCGTTTTCATCAGGGAGGAACTTGTTTTCCACACAGAGAAGTTAAACTCCTTCAGTAGTTTTGTGGAGCCCGACTTCATCCAAAAGCATGCACAGTGTAAAGGGGGACGTCCTAGTTGTGCTTTAAGAGTGGCTCAGCAAGGCACCCCAAGCCTAGCCCCACCAAAGGCAGCTAGACACTGGCAACGGTTTGCTTTGAGAGAGTATCTGATCCTATATTATAATTAACCAGAGGTGCTTAAGTTTCTCTCTGTTATCTGGGTCAGGAGAGAAAAACCCTACGCCAAATAGATGAAGATGACCACAGGAGCAGAGAAAGAGCTCAGCTCAGCTCCATCTTCCTGATCTCCGAATGCTGTGATGAATGACCTGCATCATTTCATCTCCCAGTGTCGTGATGAATGGGAATGCTAAGCCTTGCAGTTGACTCCGACTTCTCCCACCTGCACTGTGACCTGTAACTTTTTTTGGTTTTGAGTGAAAGCTTCTTTCCTTGCCAGAAAGTGCTTGCTATTTGTGAAAGAATATGTAAAACAGCGCCAGGTGAAGAACGACTTTTTCACCCAGTCCTGAAACCATCACAAAGAGACAAATTTTGCAGCTTTTACTTTGTGTGTGAATATTTTTTTTCCACACAGCTCTATTCATTGCCTGAAACAATGGGGCCAGTGTTGGCCAGCAAAGAATAGTGCTATTCATATGCCCTGTACCCTGCACAGTGCCTACACTTGTTAGTCTTGGCTGCCCTGCTCCGCTGGCTGCTGGCAAGAAAGTCGGGTCTATGTTGTTGGATGGAGCAGGCAGATCAGAGGATGAATGCTGGCAGCCAGATTCGCAGATAAACCTTAGCTCTGCTAGAAAACTCTTGTTGACATAAGCCTGTGCTTTGAGGGGTGTCTTGGAATTCCAAGCACTTGCGCCAGGTGTGAGGGCAGGTGGTAGCAGTCTCATTCCATCCATCCTCGACCTCCCGCCACAGCAATGAAGCTTCATTTAGGGTTCAATGCGTGCCTCAGGAATCAGACACCCAACTTTCAATTAGGGCTCTAAAGGGGACCGACTGATAGAAGGATCTTGAACAGATCTCAAGCTCCCACAGTCTCATTCTTTTCCTTCGTTAGACAAGGCATGATACAGTACCAACCACCTCACTGGACATCATGAAATTCAATAACATCGTCCTGTGCTGTGATTAACAAGGAATAATTGGTAGCTATTCCTGTCATTAATGAAAGACTGTTGGGGCAGTAACACTGGCTTAGCCTATTTTCTGTCTGGGTATAAGCCAACCACTGTGAAATGGTAGGCTTACCACTGTAGTGATGGGTGGATGTGGGGGGAAAGGCAAGGCCAGCTTCTCTGTGGAGACCTAGAAAGTTGTCCACAGGGCAGAAGGTGTCCACTAGTAGCAGCCACTCTGTTTCTCAAGGACCCTATGAAAGATTGGTCAGCTTGTGTGTGTGGCACTGTCCCAGAAGTCCACACAATAAATAGCTGCTAGCAGGGATCTGTAGGACCTCTTCAGTTCTCTGCCACCTTGAGTGAACAGCATAAAACCTGCAGCCCATCCCGACCTGTAGTCTTCCTTTCCTTTTTCTTTTTAAGTGAAACGAAATCTTTTTGGCTCCCATTGACGTCTGTGGGGAAGCAAACTGCCAAGTGCAGGCAACCTGTGGCAATCTTGCTGAGACTCTGGCAGCCTTTGGGATGACCAAGTGCAAGAGGCTTGATTACCTTCCCCCTTAGAATCATTCCTGTGCAGAGCCAGGCAGGCTGCTGGAATCCAAATGGGTTATTAAGATTAGCACTGCGGAGGGGCTGCAGTTCCAAATCAGGTTCAACCTTCATCCATCAATGGAGGCCGGGAGGGAGCCCATCTTTCAAGTTTCTTCCAACCCATGATGTTTCGATCTTTGAAGTTTTCCTTGCTGTAGATGTTAACTGCCTAGCTACCTTCTGGGAAGATGCTACCATGAAAGCCAACATGCTTGGCACCGATTTCCCTTGGCACAGTTTATATACACATACACTTGTCATAGTACCAGAGCTTTGCAGTCTGCTAATGTACTACATGAAGCATATACTAATCACAGGGGCAATGTTCTGGGTTATGTATATTATAGAGAAAAGATAATGTATTCACGGTGACTGTAGACACGTTAACCAGGCTTGTGAGCAGCAGACTCCTCTTGGTGTGATCACGTAATTAGAAGACATTATTGCCATTCATAAATGGAATTAATTAAATTTTTAATTAAATTTTCAAAAGATAATTTAATGAAAGTAGGATTGATTAGAAAATTATCAATGAATTTACAGATTCATTTAAGGCATTTGTCTCTGTCACTTTCAGATCTCATTGAAATCAGTTAAAGTAATGGTAGGAATGTCCATACTAGCCTTTAAATAGTTCTCAGATTGTTTTAAGAGACAAAAAGTACCTAAGATGTATCTTGAGCTCTTTCATGCAGTAGATAGTAAACTCTGTGTGTGCGTGTATGAGTGTTTGCATGTGTATATGTGTGTATTCCTTTGTGTGTATAAAGGAGATATGATGCATGACATGCATATTGAAGTCAGAGTGTGGGTGTGGGTGTGCATGACACCATGTAGAGGTCAGGAGATAACTCAAGTGTCTGTCCTCAGATGCATTCCACATTTTATCTGATATAGGGTTTCTCAGAGATCTGGAACTTTTCATGTAACCCAGGCTAGTGGCCATGTGCTCCCAGGGACCCACCTGTTTCTATATCCGAACTGGCCATTTCTAGGAAGGGCTTCTTTCTCTATTGTGAGATATGGCAGTCATAATAACATTTTCACATTTCTGAGGCAAATGACTCACTAACAGCATTATTTTATTAGTCAATTTGTAGCCATTGTTTAGAAACAAATTTAGAGAAAAATGTGACATTCCCATTGTGGGCTGTAAAATCAAAACCTTTCTTATTGCTAAACACTTCTCTTAACCTTGATAAGGATTTCAGAACAATTGAGGGCTAAGATTGATGGTCTGTGTGTATGTTGGTCTTAGAGCTGTCATGGAACAAGTCCAAATTCTAGTAGAAGAAGGGAAATGAACATAAATTTCAATAGCAAAAACTCAAAGTATTGATTCAGGAAGAAAAAGGTCCAGTTCATATGTTAGGTCCACTACTAAGAAAACTAGGCCTGTTTGAATTATAGCAGCACAAAGTGCATCTTTTCTCAGCATTATCTCTATATCTATCTATCTATCTATCTATCTATCTATCTATCTATCTATCTATCTATCTATCTATCTATCTATTTGGTTCTTCAAGACAGGGTTTCTTTGTGTAGTCCTGAGTGTCCTGAAATTAGCTCTGTAGACCAGAGATCCACCTGCTTCTGCCTCCCAAGTGCTGGGATTGAAGGTGTATGCCACCATTGCTTGGCTTCATTTGACCATTTTTACTTCACTGATAAGAAACTCAATGACTTCAGGGTAAACTATAAGAAGGAAGAACTCACAGAAAAGGCATAGCAGATGTATTAGGCAGAGTTCCCTAGAATAACTGAAATAATAGAATGGGTATTTGTGGGGCAGGCTGAGCAATCGATTGGATTATATGATATGGACCGACTAGTCTAACAATGGCTGTCTGTGCGCCACAAAGTGCAGAACCCAGTGGTTTCTCAGTCCTCCAAACTGGCTGTCTCAGCACGCAGTCTCGATATGGCGCCCAAAGACTGCTGGATTCCTGGAAAGTCTTTGGTCTTTAGTTCAGGTTGGAAGGCAGAAGAGGCTCAGTTCCAGTGTTAGCAAATGACATCATCATCATCATCACGACCACCACCACCACCACCACCACTACCACCACCACCACCATCATCATCATCATCATCAGCAGCAGCAGCAGCAGCAGCAACCGCAGCAGCAGGATAGATGGGCTCACCGGCAGGAATAGAGATCAATAAGCAAATGCAGCACTTCCTTCTCTCTAGACTTCTTTATATGGGTCAGCACCCCAGAGATGTGCCCACTCTGGATGGGAGTCTTCCCTCCCTAGCTAGTCCTTCCTGAAAACACCTCCACCTATCAAGCTGACAAGTGAGATTAAAAACCACACTTGTAAAGCAAAGAGCAAGTTGGCAAAAGCTATAATACATGTTCACTTATCATAAATCTAAACAGTTATATACTACTAGCAATAGCAGCAAACACATACTTCATCTGGAAAATTATGGTATGGGGCTTGATTAAACAGGCAACTAATGTGTGGTTAGAGGACCTCTAACAGTTATAACATCTGTGATTATCCATATTTCTAAACCTCTGTATCTGTGTTCATATAAGTAAATAGTTATTATCCATATTTCCCATAAATTAAAGAGGCACGGGGTTCTACTTGGTTCTCATGTGTGAAATCATGTGTCCAGGGGACATGGACCTATGAAAGAAAAACCAGCCCATCAATAAAGTGGGCTAGCTGGAGGATTGCATAGTAGGACTCAGAGTCCTTATAGAAGTATGAGAAGAAAAGCTGTAGGAAAAAAAAAAAAAACAGGCAAATTAAGTGTCTGTGTAGATAAAAGAGGCAGGAACTTCAGGAGCATCCCGAGTACAGACATGCACACAATACCCTAGCTCCCATTAGGATCTGAGCAGAGTAGAGGTGAGAACACATTGAATTGCACTCCCCCCCACCCCAACCCGGGTTTGTTTTTCCTCTCCATCATAGCTCACGAGAAACAGAGAGAGTGATGGCTTTTCACTTTGATGCTTCTCTCCACTCAAATGGCAGAAACTAACCAGGTGAGTTGTCACAGCTCAGATGAGGCTGAGATAAAAATACACCTTGGAGAGCTCACTTCCTGATTACAGACGAAAGCTGTTCTTTCTGATTTAAAACTGAAATTCCTGCCAGCCCGAATGAGTGGCTCTGGGACACTCTGAGGAGAAGGTGTTCCATTTACCTTCCCTCAGATTCGTTGGTGACCCCGTCCAGCGTCCTGACTTAAAATCGTAGGTGAAAACAAATGGCTCTTCTTGTTCCTTGCTTCTGAGTTCATCTTTGAAAGCAGCTCCACACTGCTAAGTCTCGTCTCTTAATTACTCACACCATCAGAGAAGACAGCTATTTCAAGTCTTGACTCAACTGGTTTGTATTTTATGTAATACAAAGCAAAATCCTTTATTTGGTAGGTTTTTGTTGTTGTTTTGGTTTTATTTTTTATTTTTTTAAGACAGGGTTTTTCTGTGTAGCCTTGGCTGTCCTGGAACTCACTCTGTAGACCAGACTGGCCTCAAACTCACAGAGATCCACCTGCCTCTGAGGATTAAAGGTGTGCACCACCACCACCCAGCTAATTTGGCAATTTTAACACATAACTATTGCAGTTTTTAACCCAAAGTTCAAGACCGTGGTCTTTCTTTGGAGAAAACTGTAGGATTCAGTTTGCAGCATAGGTCTTTCAGCCTTGCCTTTCCCAGCTTGCTCAAAGAAGGGCTCCAGCTGTCAATCAAGGCATGCTGTGGAGCCTACAAAGAGAAATGAAGAGCTACCCAAG